TGAATCGAACAAAATATCACTTGATGTTAGCCAAAAGCAAATCATATAAGCTAGGTCAAGGTTTGATCATCTACTAAAACTTCAAGATTTATAATTTTTGGATAAGTATGATCCGGGCCCAAGGAAATTAAAACATCAGTATCCCTTTAACTGGATTGATATGACACAACTACGTACTACAACTTTATATTAGCCAAAAGACAATCATTCAATCATCTACTACAGCTTTAAGATTTATAATTTTTGGATAAGTATATGTATATTGATCCGGGCCCAAGGAAATTAAAACATAACTGATGGTCTTATGTGGTTGATAACTTGATATGATACATTTACTACGAGTAATTTACTACAAGTACATTGAATTGTATGCATGTAGCACGTTCTTAATTTAATTTAAGCTAGAAATGTGGTTAGGATAGAATTTGTAAAAGCCAATTAATATAGTAGGCTACGTTAAAGTATTTACAAATTTTTCAAAAAAGCGGGTTTATATTAATTTATTGTGATACGGGTTAAAGTTATCTTTAAAGTATTTAAAGTTACCCTTTATACTACAAAAGTTATTATTTTTACAAAAAACTCATAATGTATTAGATTAATCATATTAGCGTTTATAGTATGTAATCATAAATCTAGAAGAAATTACACATTGAAATAGAATTCAAACCGACAACAAATAAAAAGTTATCCTTTAAAGGGTTAAAGTTACCTTAAATATAGTTAAAGTTACCATCAAACTTATCGTCTTACAATAAAATTAATGTACATCCGCCTTACACAAGACTTATTGTAAAGTATTAGAGAGTAGTGATTAATTCTTGAGATCGAATTATATTTACGTCATTAATTTTTACACTGTCTTACGCAAAAAGGTAAATTTGATTTTATCAATTACAACTAAAATTCATCAATTTTATTTTTTTGGTTTTTATAGGGTTTTGCATGCTTACAAATTTACACTACTCACAAAGACACAGTAGTTTTTCCATCCTTCAAACTTATTAACAATGAATTCAGGTTTATTCTGGTTGCATTGTAAATTAAACTAACTTGTCCTTATATGAACTAAAAATTTTAGACCTGAAACTTATCTATTTAAGGCGGGAAAAAAAAAATTATATATATATTTTTCCAATCAAGTCCGTTTAGGCTACGGTGACCTACTAATCAAGTAGATGTGGTGGAACAACCATATTCCATAATATGTCATCAACTCATCAGCAAAGAACATGGTATATATTAAAAACTGACCAGAAACTCTTGCAAGTAGGATTAGTTTATTAATGAAATTAAAAGAGATCAATATGATTGGTAATGTTCTAATAATCTCTAATTTTGCTATACAAGTTGTGAACATGGCTTCTGATGGAGATAATGCTCATAATATTAAGCCTATCATTACAAATATTAACTACTACAATAAACAAGATCAGAGCAAGTCATTATCAACTGGTTGCTGGATATTTTGATGATAAGCAATCATTTATTTACTTTTATAAGATGGCAAAATAATTAATTACTTAGGTCCAACTTACATCGATCTGCTTTGGATATTCTAGAGGATAACATTGAAATGCAACTTTAGTATCGAATTGAAGTGAAATCCTGTCATTTTGGTATTATAAAAACATTTTCATACTCATCTATTGAATTTCGGGTGACTTTTTATGTGAAAATGAGCATGATATATTATCAATATATTTTATCTACATATACATTACACAAATAATAATGTGAAGGTTAGAGATGTTAAAACACAAAATTATGACTCCATAGTTTAATTTGTAATTGGTAGACCTAGATTCTTGACAACCTCAAAACTTATCCTACCAATTGGAGGCCATCAAAGACTTGGTGGCAAGATTCTTCAAAAGACAACTTCAAAAAAATTTAAAATAACAAAATCCATGACTAAAGTCTAAGCTTCAAATCCTTTTTTTTTTTTTTTTTATTTAAATAATTAGGGCAAAAATAATTTAGCTTCCTACAATTTTTGTTATGAGGGATTGATGTGAGGGGCATGGACTCTCTGATAGCACAATAATAAGTCACCACAATGACACCTTAAACTATCAATGCTTTTGATGTGTGTGCCGATTTATTATTAGTTGGGACTATGAATGGCATGACGGGATTATAACTTATCCTCCGTTCCAATAAAGTTGGGACCATTCTTTACCCTAAAATGATATAAATCCTAGGAAATTTTGGAAAGTCATGAAGTCGGGTTAAAGAAGCCAATTTTATAAAACTTCTTAGATGGACAAATAGTGTGAAATGCGGTTAATTAAATGCAGCCACAACAAGCTAGCATGTAATAATATACTATAATATCTGTGCATATACCAAGAAGTAAGAAATAGTCTCTCTTCTTTCCTTTTCTGGTCCCTTTTCTTAGCTTAAAAAATACGAAGTATTACAAGAAGTTGACATATAAATGTAGGCAACAAACAGGTAACTTCAAATGGTTTTTTAATAAATAATAATAGGTCAAAACTCAAATGACAAGGAATATGCATGGTGCACCTAAGTTTGTAGATAATAATATATACATAGCCCTCATTCACCTACTTTGATATAGTGATAAACCTTCATTTTTTTGCTGTAATGACTTGTATAACAGGAAGTCAATTTGATATGCTTCAAATTCACTCTTGGGGAGAAAAATCCCCAAGATTACAACGACGTTAGTATACAAAGCAGCCCCCCTTCCCTCATTCCCAGTTTTATGCGACATTGAATGCCAAAAAACTCTCATATAGACACTATATACATGATGTTCATATCAAAGAGGCATGTAGCACCTCAGTGACCTATAAGAGCAGTGACATACGTAAATACCTATGGATACGATGTTTACGTGTATCTTGGTGCTGGGCTACCCTTAAGATCATAGCATGAATGTATGTTACAGTATTTAGATATTCAGACTTTCAGAGCTGAACACCCCAGTAATAAAAGAAAATTCAAAATTATAACCAAATAAACAGGGCAGCTAAAACGGTAGAATTAAAAAACAAGAGTGACTAGTAAACGTGGTGATGACTTCTATTATCTCTTCACCTTCCTAATAACTCCTTCCTTGGCAGGGGGGAGTTCTGAGGGTCGGGTGATTAAATGGATGAACTGCGTCAATGCGTCATCCATACAGTCAGCGGGTTAAAGAATTTCTGCTGCTATTGTGATAGGGAATCTACTAATTAGTTGTTAACATAAATTATGGTACTTTTGCACGCTAATTATGGACGTGCCTACTTCAATACAAAAGTCATTATCTCTGCGCTAACAGCTGATTAAAGTACACTAATATCTTGGAGAATCATTAGGGATAAACTAATATTAATGGGTGATAACACCTTAGGAATAATACTAATGTTCATTCATTAAATTGAGAGAGCTGAGCATAAAACCGCCCAGCCACGACCCCTTGGAAAAATAATACCATTTTCCTTCAACTTGAGGCTAACTTAAACTATAAGGATGCCTTAAAATAAAGACCGACCAAATCACAAAGATCTTCTGCAGTCTTAAAAAATACCTAGACAGATGGGTGTGAGAGCTTAGATTAATAGGATGCCTTCTCGTTTCAAACATCTCTTAAATAAATGATGCAACTCTCCAGTAATGACGGACCACGTGCACTGCACATTTCAAAATTTTACGGAGTATTCATAACGGAAAACCCGTTTCCTTCTCCTGCCTTTCTAAATCCAGAATAGACTCGTATTTCATTCATTAGTTGCAAAAAATGTGGGTACAGTACATGTAAGCTAGAAGAGCAATAGGGAAAAGACAATTACCTGAGTTGTCGCATAACCAAGTGAGTTGAAATTAGTTGAAAGGTAAATCTTGAACTTGCAATAAGCAACCAAAAAATTCAGAGTCCACGCCTGCATATCGACTAAATTATGTTCACCGGAAGGGGAAAAAGTCAGTTAGTGAGTCAACTTTACATGCTACTGTGCAATGTAGCATGCATTTTCTCTTTGGAAATATTGGAAAAGAAAATTTTTCAGATATGCAGTCAAATTTTATTAATGCATGAAAATTAGACTTGTCTTGAGCTATATCTAGTGGTATCCTGGCCAATGTGTCTGGGCATCAATAGAAGAGAGTAGCTAAGTGATAGATAAAGGATTGAATAACAAAGGAAAGACACATTCGTTCAAGCAATCAAATCTATTTACATTAGAACTATGATAAACAATGAGGCTGAAACTATGACTCAGATAAACTAGAAGGAAAAAATAAACTCTGACTTCATTAGAATAATATTGAAGACTCAGCCTTGATGTTCATTACAACAATCTAAATGCTTATCAGTCATATTGCAGTGCATCATTCTACATAAATAATATTGAACTTCGTAAGAAGTAAACAATTTAAATAAGAATGTTAAGTGGATCAGAGCCAAAGATCACACAAGATTGACTCTTTGCTTTAAGTAAACTTAGTGCTTCTCACAATGTTTCCTCCTTATGACGACCATTATGAGATTAAGGATCTACAAGAGACCAGTTAAAGAAACTATAAGGTTTTTACGGGTCATACTGTCATAGGTTTGATAATTTGTAGATTAAGACAAATCGTCACAAATCCATGAATCTAGAACTACACATTAACCATTAAGTTAAGAATCCAGATTAACTCAGTAATTTCCTATAAATCTGACTTCTAAAACACCTAATTTCTGGCCAACTCACACCAAAAGAAATAGAGCAACATCATTACACTGACACCAAGGCAACTCATTCATTGCACACAAGTCAAAGTATTTCTCAAGCAAGAATATTATCAGCAGTGTTAACTCAAACACATTCATGGCAACATTTTCAGCTTCAAAGTTTAAAACTCACAATACCGGGGAAACCTAAGATTACAAGCATTTAATATAAGCAAACCGTACTATGAAATCAGAGAATGAGATATATAAGTTTTCTTATTGGTATATTTTTCCCAGGAATGTAGCTAGAAGAGCACCCATTTGAAACGATATGGACCAAGCACTCACTAGGCATGATGTTTTCTGTCAATGAATGAGATTCTCTGTTGCAATTTTCTCCATCAGAGTACATTAACCAGGCAATTAAGTGAACTTGATAGCACTTTTTTTCAACAACCTGAAAGTACACAACGATCAGAATCATGCTAAAACGCTTGAGTTCTTTTTTTAATATGCCTCAAAGGCCAGTCATTATAATATGATTGCTGTTCAAGAATCCAACTCGCCTTTTTTGTCCTGAAATAACGTAGCTCCAAGCAGAAACCGAAAAATTTTACTCCATAAAAAGAGGAGAAATCCCAAAAAACAGGTCTAAGGTGGATCCGTCAATACATAATTACATTTCAGGGGGTGTGCTAAACATGGAGACCCGTCATAATACAAGTCTCACAATTAAGCATATAACAAGATACAATGTCCTGGTAACCTGATCCAGTTACTTTTGCAGTAGATTTGGTTTTAGAGGTTTCTGTTAGATTTTTGGCACTTAATTTTCAAGGGTACAGTGTACATCAGTACATACAGTCAATCTTGTAAGCTCATTGTTCATATACCAAAAGAATGATACTTCGTATAAAGAAGCTTGGTATAACTGTAAGGAAATCAATCTAATTATAAAATTAAAAATATAAAATATAAATAACACAAACCAATTAGGGAAAGTGCTCCATAATTTGAGACTGACAACGCTTTCATGCTAGCAGCTTAAAGTTCAGGCATGAAACTAATTTTTCAACTGCAAATACTGAAATTCATGTTTAGAACCTTGTCTCTTCATTTTGATCTAATGGGATAGTTCAATTATTTGAATCATATGACATGCGATACAATGTCTTGTGAGAATGTGAGTTAGTGTGTCAACACATCCTCAACTTTATAACATCGCCATATGCAACCTGATATTTTAACATCACTCAAATATAGAACATTCTTGGTTCTCAAAAATATAGAGATGAGATGAGATGAGATGCATCACTTCAGCAACTAGACATGAGTTTTATTTTCTTATAAGTTATAGCTGTTCAGTGTTCCCTTTCTCTTTATATTACATGACATACTGAATAATGCTTTATGGATAAGCCAGGGCAACAACGTGTTCTTGACAATTGATATGATTAGTGAAACGGTACCAGATTCATACCGAAGGGTTGATTCTACAACTATTGCATAACATCTAAAGAACTAGAACCATTTACAACAACCCAATTGTTGGAAGATGACATGTTCAATACTTAGTCCCAACGCAAGATCTCTAAATTCATGCGGTGTAGAGACTTTAGACCGTTGTCATTACAAAGCAAAGGCCTGAAAAAACTATTACATAACTGGACTAGTCTATTTATGATACCACAATCAATGAAAGTTGAATGGATATTGGCTCATTAGCATTTTTTTTTTCTTTCGGGGGTGGGAGTGGTTTAGAGAACCAGAATGATTATATATAAAGCTCTTTTTATTGATAAAATAAAGTTAGTTCAAAAATATAATAGCACAAAATATTTCATAGGATTAATGATTCTTGATTAGACAACTACTGAAAGAGTGACAATGTTGAGACACTTAGTCTAACCAACATATCTACTACAAGCTACCATAAGGATAGAGAAACAAATAAAAACTTCACAGGCATGCTTACAGATCATCTTTCGGCATGGGAAGCTTAGATTGGCCTCTGTGCGGTCTTCTTAGGCCCGAAGATTGCTTCCCATACCAGAGGGGATGTTGGACCATTCTTGTCCAAATAGGTTCTAACTGCCTTCTCATCCAAAAGTAATCCCTTTTGTTTCAATGTAAGGATAATATTTTGTGCTTCTTCAACTCCCTTCTCCTTACAAAACTCAAGAACCAGCTCAGTGAATGTAATCACATTTGGAGAATGACCATTTTCCAGCATTTCCACACAAAATTCAACAGCATCATCCAATCTGTTCCCTTTGCAAAGACCTCTGATCAAAACAGTATAACTAAATGCATTCGGTACAATCCCATTGTTCTGCATTTTCCTGAAAATCCTCTTAGCATCATCAAAGTTCTGCGCCTGGCAAAACCCTTCAACCACAGCCGTATACACAACAACCTCTGGCATTGAACCCTTCTCACGCATCATCCCAAAAAGCTTCATAGCTTCATGGACCAAACCATCCTTACAAAGGCCATCAAGCATTGCCACAGCATTAGGAATCAGACCACTTTGTTTCATTTTCTTAAAAATCTCATCAGCTTTCTTAGGCGCCGCCATCCTCTCTTCCTGAGACGGCACCTCGGAATCCTCCTTCGCCTTTGCCTCTTCCTCTACCTCATCAGATTTCTCTTCCACCTTACTTACATCACCAAGCTTAAACTTGTCAAGAAATTCACTCTCTCCCCTCTCTTTCCCAACCCTTTCCTCGCCTTTCGCCGGACCTTGCCTATCCAAGAGCTCGCTAACCGATGGCTGATAGTTCTTCCTACCCTCTTGATCCCAACTCAAACCAACCCCTCCAACCCCACTTTCTTCATCAAAATTTAAGGGATTTTTAAACCCATCATTTCTTCCTTGACGCCTATAATTACGATCTGGGTAATCAGTTTTTCCATTAAATTGAGGCATTTGTGGTCTATCACCTCCTGAAGACCTAAAACTTTTCTGGGGTGCGTTAAAATCTCCTCTATTCTTCCCAGAAAACTTTTTATTATCATCATCATCAACATAATCATCATTTCTACGACTATTATAACTATAATTTCTGAACTGCCCATTAATATTATGACCATCCATTGTTGAACTAAACAATTGCAATCTCAATAATAAGGGAAAAGCTGACCCATTTGAATTCAAATACTTGGAAATAACAGCAAGGTTCGAAGCTTTACCTCTTAAAGATCTCATCTTTATCTCTAATTCGAAAACTTGCAGAAATTCTTAGGGAATAATCGAGTGATGGATACACAGAGAACTGGGGAGCTATGAGCCTGTGACTGTGAGAAACGAGGGTTTTGGAGGGTTTAGAACTTTAGGGATTTTGAGTTTACGAGGGTATATTAGTCAATTGATGCCCGTTTGAGTTGACCGCACCAAACCGCAAACCAAACTTCAATTTTACGGTTTGGTGCGGTGCGGTTTTTGAAAATGATCAAACCACAGTTTGCGGTTTGATGTGATTTATAAAAATATTTAGATCAAAGTGCACTTTAATGCAATTTGCAGTTTTATACTATATTTTTATTAAAAAAAATATATAAAAGAGTTAAAATATATGAGCTAATCTTTTGATTAAAGGTTAAAAAAAGAGTTTAATATTTGAATTTGAATTACAATATGGTTTGGTGCGGTTTTTTTTAGAAGTGCAGTCTAGTGTGGTTTGAAAAAATTACAAACCGCAATTTTGCGGTTTGATGCGGTTTGCGATTTGCGATTTGGTGCGATTTAGGATCCAAACCGCACCGCAAACACCCCTACGTTTGAGTCAATAATGAGTTAATGACCATAATCTATCTGTATTACTCCGTATTCAAAACAAAATTCACAAAAACAACAAGCTTAGTTGATTGACGGTTTGGGTGATATTCAAGTCTTGGATCAAATCTTGCCTTTTATCATCTTTGTTCATACTCATGACTTAAAGAAGCTTAGTTGATTAAAGGTTTGGGTATAATAGACGAAATACATTATTGGAATGTAATAAACAACCCGTATTAGTCGTATCATTATAACCAAGCAAGCTTGGTGGGGGAATTGGTGGGAACTGACCTTGTAAACTTGGGAGTAGGGCGGATTCCTTAATCTCCCACTCTACTTTCAAGTCTCAAGCGTTCACCTGCGCATTTGAGCTAACTTAACATATAAGATATGTCGATTTTGTAGGACCCCTAAATTATATAAAGTACATTACAAATATATTTAGTGAATTAATGCAAATAATTTGGGACAAAGAAATATATACTTGCACTATGTGCTATGGGATGAATATAATAATATTGGGTCCTTTTATTTCTCTATCTCTACCTTATTAAAAGTTTAATCAAATACTTATGAATAGTGTTATGTCAATTATGTCCTTTAAAATGTCTATTTATTTATATATCCTCATATATGCATGTAAAACACATGTGTGACATTTTTTTCCCTTTTTGTTTTTACTCCTTCCGTTTTTAAATACTTACTCCACTTTTCATTTCTAGCCGTTTTTAAATACTTGCTTCATTTCTTTATTTGAAAAACTTTTACAATATTTAATTCTATTTTCTCAATTAGTGAACCTAACATAAATCATATTTTATTAATATAATATTTTCTCTCCTTCAATTCTCTCAACTACTTTTGCGTTTTACAATTTTTTATTCTTTCACCTACCCATTACCTTCATATTTTATTACTTTCTCCAATTTCTCTTAAAGCTCCACGCACGGAGAAATAGAGCACGTATTTAAAAAGTGAGGGAGTACCATCATAGCTTTTTAATTGGCTTTTTATTTTAATTTTTTTGCCTTTTCTTACCTACCTTTTAAAAAGTTTAAGATAACTCTTCTAAATAGTGTTTTGGACAATTATGCCCTTTAAAACTAAAGTTTTGACATAAATCAAATTGAAAGAGATTCCATAATATGACTAGCTATGTGCGCGCATCGCTCGCGTTAGTGACCCTAGTATTCAGAAAACGGATTTTTGATCTTACAAGGTTATAATAGTCATCTTAATACATACTTGTATCAATTACCATAATGTCCTCAATGAAAAGAGATAGATAAGATTATGCCCCAATTTCTGAATGTCTATAGAGGACTGAGAGTAGGAGAGAGACTATAGAAGTGAAGTTTGAAGCAGAGTGCTCTGTTTTTCACTCCTTTTCTGCCATGTTTGCTTCTACGTAATCGAGGAACCCATCTTCAAAACATTTAGGTAATTATCCTTTTCATTTTTCAAAGCTTAAAATTTTATTTTGTGCTCTTTTTTCTGTAAATTGAGGTCTATAATTGCAAAAAATGTTAATTTGTTCTCAATTGTTGGCTTTTGTCTAATGTAGTTTCAGCATTATGAAAAATTTCCCAATTTTAGTTTGATGGTGAAATTGGGTAATAGGAAATGTAAATTTGTTTGATTGCACTTATAATTTATTAATTAGAAAATTTCTTAATGGAGGTAGAGTTTAATTGATTTGCTGATTTTCTATAATTAATCTGCTAATTTTTCCGAATTCAGATGTTAAAATCGAATTCTGTTGTTTATGCAACTTAACGAGTTTTTTTGAAGTAATTGATACTTCTGACTTATAGAGAATTAGGTCAACTGGTCAATTTGGAGATTAATTTGGTCTTACTGAGTTTGAAGAAGAATTTGTTTTTTTTTTTTTTTTTTTTTTTTTGTGGTCTATTTGGAGAATTTGTAACTGTTGGGTTCTAAATACTCCGTAGCATTCTAGCAAAGGCTTAGTCCAAAAATGATTTGTGGTTGGTTAACATGAATCGTCGTAAGAAATCGTATACGCTGCCTTGACATTTTACATTGGTACATAAATAGCTCAATTTCTGATTTGTAGAAAATTATGGAGGTTAGTAGCAGCCAAAACAACAGCACTGGTGTATTGTGGTTCTTCAAGGATAAAGGATTTGATGACAAAAGCATTCAGGACATGTTCAAACGGTGCAAGCGGCTCGAAGGCTTGCAAAGGGAAAGAGCTTCCCAAAGTTGGGATTATTTGAGAAGCATTGGTATCCCAGAGAGAAAACTACCATCAGTAGTTCTCAAATGCCCGAAAATCCTGTCATTCGGTGTGGATGAGACACTCGAGCCCATGGTTCAGTGCCTTAATACACTTGCTACAAAACCTGAGGAGGTTGTAACAGCTATTATCAAATTTCCCTATATTTTTTCTCACAGTGCAGAAGGAAAGCTGTGTCCTTTATTAGGTTTCTTTGAGGCACTTGGGATTCCTGAAAAGCAACTTGGTAAAATGGTATTGGTCAATCCTAGAATCGTAAGCTACAGCATCGAGCCAAAGCTTACTCAGTTTGTGGATTTCCTTACCAAGCTCGGGCTTAATGAGGAAGGGATGATTGGTAAAATTTTGGTGAAGAACCCATATCTCATGGGTTACAATGTTCAGAAGAGGCTGCAGCCTACAGCAGAATTCCTAAAGAACGTTGGTCTGACAAAAACAGATCTTCAGAAAGTTGCTGTAAACTACCCTGAGGTTCTATGTCGAGATGTTGAGAAAGTTCTCAAGCCAAATTTCGATTACTTAAGGAGCTCTGGATTCGGTGACAATCAGATCGCAGCTTTGGTGTCTGGTTACCCCCCTGTACTGATCAAAAGTATCAAGAACTCCTTGGAGCCGAAACTGAAGTTTCTGGTGCAAGTGATGGGGAAAAGCCTTCAGGATGTTGTGGAGTATCCTGATTTCTTTCGACATGGTTTGAAAAAGAGCTTGGAGTTGAGGCAAAGGGTACTGTCTCAGAAGAACATAGATTGCAGCTTAAATGAGATGCTGTACTACAATCGAAAGAAGTTCTGCTTGAAGTATGGATCAACCTAGGAAATCCACAAGCGATGCAACCTTTTGTTTGCTTTTTCCAGTTCCTAATGGTATTTAATTCTTATCAGTTCTTTTTAGTTGTAGACTACTTTCATATGATATAATATATTGCTTTGTATGATTATGTTTCTTCAATCAAAATGCACTAATGCAGGAATTGCAAGAATGATCTAGTATAATTGATTTTTGTATTGAATAAATCAAAACCTTCTTCAATGGAGAAATCAGAACGCATGAACATCCTCAATGGAGGAGGAAGACAAACCTTGCCCTTAAGGGTTAACCATGCCATAATTTCTCCAATTTTTTTAGGGTTTTTCGTCTTATATATCGAGGTGAGTAGGCGACCCATATTAATGTATTGAATACTAATTTCCATCCTTCCTAATTCCTTGTATATGCCTAAAATAATTTTAATATCAATAACATATCAACAACAACAAAAACCAAAAAAAAAAATAATACTATATCAATACTATATCGATAATTATAGTAGATTACTATTTCCAGGGAAAGCAAACATTATCACCAGGAACCCTGCAAGGCCCACTATCATGGATGTTCCAATTACAATAATCTTGACAAGGCTTATGATAACCCATACTATCCCTTTTAAATTCTTAAATATCAAACTTGTGAAAAGTATTTTCCCATTTAAATCCACAGAAATATAATGATATACCTGCGAGATTAACTTTGAAATTGAATTCATATTTCTCAAGGTACGCTATATCATGTACCCCTAAATCATCGTCCTTGGATTTGCAATGAACTTGGAGATTCATCTTTCCGTCTAACTCACTAATGATTCCTACATGCATTGAGAAGTCTCAATTGAGTGCCTCGCACCTACATATTACATGTATTGATACAAATAGGAGGAGAATTATTATAACATGTTTATACACAATTTGATCCATTTTGGACTTCTGGTGTACAAAAACTATATTAGTAATTACCTTATTTTATATACTGTAAACTCTTATGAATTTTAAGGTCTAACTATTGAGCTTTTTATTGGGGTGGTTGAGGAAGGGATGGAGGATGAATTTCATGAATCACTTATTAAGGAAACTAACCTTTTTAGAGTTGTTTTTTTCTGAAAAATTTATACTTGTATTAGAGACATCACATATCTCGTGGAATCTTGATTTATTATCTTTATGACTTTAATGTACATCTCAGCTATTATGTTAGCCTTAAATAATGCTCATTGTAATTGTAACACCCTAATGAGTTTTTCTAATATGATATTATTAGTTCTTATCAAAATTAATTGTACATGTAATTTGAACTTAGGTAACCTTTATTAACTCTAATTATAAATTATTTTTCTATAACTTATTTTTTCCCCGCTAGATAACATATGCATTGTAAATTTTGTAATGTCAAAGAAAACATCACAAATAAGATCTGTCTTGAAACCGGAGCAATTTTTGTTTTCCAAAAAGGTTTCGTAACAAATTTACTTTGAAAGTTTGAATATCATATATGTGCAAACTATTCAACTTTTTGAAAAAAGAAGGCTAATTAGAATTGAAGCTGCTTTTTACTTAATAAAAAAGGGAATTGAATTTAAGCTGCTTCAATAAGTCTGATATAAAATTAAACCATTACACAATTACAGTTATATATAATATTAGGATTACACACTATTAATATAAAATTATAATCAAAACTTCAATGTTAAAACATAATCCGCCATCTTAATTTCAATATAACATAATCATCTATTTTTTCCAATCCAAACATTCACCTCCATTAACCCTACAAGGCCCTGTCTCAAAAATACTCCACATACAATTACTTTCACAAGCATCAGCATCTCTTGAGTATTTATAAATGTCAAATCTTTTAAACGTTTTTCCCCATCTAAAGCCACAAAAATATAAAGTTGAACCAAGGTAGTTTGGTTTGAACCTAAACTCATATTTCCCTTGATATGGGATTGTATGTGTCCCTAGATCATTGTCCCTCGATTTGCAATGAACTCGAAGATTCATCTTCCCCTTCAACTTATTTATAATTCCAACCGTAGTTTTTGCCTCACATGTAACAATTACATGGAGAGATACAACTAGGAGGAGGAAGAAAATAGCATGTTTATGCATTATTTGATACAATTTGCCAATTTGGTGTAGGAAATTAAATTATGAGTTTAAAGACTTTTTTTTATGGGATTTTAACCTAAACTTTTATTTTCTTTTATAGGGCCAAGATAACAATTAAGATAATGGAAGATTATTGGACTAGAAAACTCTTTGTTCAAAGTTGAATATAGGCTTCTGTTTTTTGGAAAAAACCTCCAAGCTTTTCGCGGTAGTTGGCAAGCAATTCATAATCAGGAGATTAATGGGGACTCCTAGATTAAAAACAAGTACTTCCTTTACTCTTTTTTACCTGTTTCTTTTATCACGTTTGTCAATATAAAACTTTAACAATCAATAACTTTAAATCTCCATAAGTAAAAATTATAAAAGTTATATAATATGATAGTATTTATTGAGACGAATTCAAAAAGATCCCGCACGTATATGTTTTTCTTTACATATTGTCACAAAAGACGGTCAAAAGAGGGGTGGTGAATGGTATAAAAGTCAAAGCGGGTCAAATAAAAAAGAAGGGAGGAAGTACGTAACAAATTATACGGAGTATTTTAGAAATTATATATTACAAATTCCTTAAAAAATATCAATATGAGCGTACTTTATTATAGCCAGTTTAACAAGTCTGAAAATCATATACAATATATTAAATTATCAGACATGCAAATTATTGATCTCATTAAAAGTATTTATCATTTAAAGACGATATACAGCCATATAAGGATTAATTATTGTAATTCTGATGCATGCATGAAGTAGGGCTGAGCAAAATTATCCAAAAAATTGAATCGTAACCGAACCGAAAATTAGGGTACCCGTTTCGATAATCATAATGATTCGGGTACCCGATCCGATAATTTGTTATCGGGTACGGTTATTGGGTATCATTTTAAAATTAACAGTTACCCGATCCCATCCGATAAGCAATTTTTTCTTTTTTTTTCCTACTTAAATCTATTTATCCAAAATCTAAACTCTTACTTTACTTCGTAATCACTTCATAATTTAAATGATTAGTAATAATTAGTAATTTGGTCATGATCATGTGGTATTATTGTTGACTAGTGTTGAATGATATCATAATAACTATATTATTAAGTCTAAATTTTTATTATTGGATATCATATTGGGTACCCAGTAACCGATCCGAAAATCCGGGTACTCAAAGTTCGGGTATCCGAACTTATTGGTTTGGGTAATGGATATCATTTTTAGTGTTCGGGCGGCGTAATCAGGAAATTGTGTTACGGGCGGCCCGCGCCGGGGCCTCTTCTTTGGTCTTGCCTCCTCTGATGGACCACCTGGCTGCCCATCCTCATCGTCAGGTGGGCGAACACTCGGCCCAGCGGGCGAACATGCCGGGCTCCGGCTCCGCGCACCTGCTGACCCCAATCTCGTATTTGATGGTCGGCGGGGCGATAGGCTTCGCTGCCCACTGCTATATTTGGTTACCCCCGTCGCGTCGTTTGGGACTGCCCGCTGCCATATTTGGTTACCCCCGTCGCGTCGTTCGCTTTCATGCGTGTCCAGGCCCCTTCTTAGTCAATGGACTGCTAGGATAAGGGTTTGAAAAAATAGCTCTTTCGCCTAATCAAGGATAGAAAGTGGCACCACCCCATTTAATTGGTCTTGTTCCTGCACCAGTAAGTAGTCCCTCCTTCGCCAGAGACGAGCTAACATGTAAAGTAGTGGAATGGAAAAGGATGGTAGCCCACCCAAGACAGCACATAGAGTCATCGAGGCCGGTGCCCGTACGACTCAAGGCTCATCTCCAACCAGAAGGTATACTACCTTACGTAGCAGGACGCGAGGCAAGGCTTATCTGCTCGGGATAGACAGTTCGTTTGGTAGGCTGAACGAACCGTCGTAATCCAATTCTCCTGCTGTCTCTGCTGCACCTTTACGAATGTACTGACTCCAACAATCATTCCCAACCGTAGGCTCCCTTGGTTCGAAGCTTCTTCGTTTAGCAACTCCCTCCGGGCACCAACCTTTTCACAGGGCGCAAGGGTAAAAAGCGCTACTCCGCTGTGGCTGTGCTCCCCCCGTGGGTTGGGGGTCGCGTCGGTCAGAGCACCGCCCTGTCAAGGCGGAAGCTGCAGGTTCGAGCCCCGTTAGTCCCGACCTATCGGGTACCCAAACCGATAGTGTTAACGGTACGGGTATCCGACCCATGCTCACCCTAGCATGAAGTATTCCTCATCCTTGAATTAACTTTATTTCCATGCATGTCAATCAATATTTCTGAAATTTACTTATTTTAATAAGTTTGAGTAATTAATTAAATTGTTCCCCGCGACCGCCCTTGAACATTTGATAATTAATCATTACTTTTCTTTTCTTTTTGGTGTTTAGAGAGCCACAAGGGCGGGGTGAGAATCGATCTCAGATCTCCTGGAATCAGGAAGGAATCTCTAACCACTTGAGTTATCTCCCACTCTCATAATTAATCATTATTTTAGGTCTTGATTAAAAATCCAGTGTTGGTTAGTTCATTTGGTTTAATTTATTTGGTCAATTATATTTTATTACTCCCTCCACCCCTTATTAAAAATCAATTTATTGCATTTTATCAATCATTCAATCCTCAATTAAATGTTTAGGAAAGATGTTTTTATTTGTAAGGTTATTGTCCTTAGGTTGAGCTGGTTTACTCTTTCCTACTTTCGAAATAAAGTAGTCTGGAGTGGACTCGAAACCAAATATAAATCATATAACTAATAATACTCCAAAAATTATAACTATATAGAATCCAATCATTAAGGCCTAGGATAGGTGCATATCTAAATAAACAATTTTTATTATTAATAAAAGATAAAAGTTACAAATAATCATATCATGCATGTCTAATAATCTCCCCATATAGTTTTACTTTCAAAATTTCTATTACAACTAAACATATAAATTATTAATTGTTCCAAGGAAAACATTGATAACTACCACCATTAATATTAATACCACTATTAACCCCATAAACATAGCAAGGACCAGTTTGATAAATAATCCACCAGCACATTCTCCAGCAAACATCATGTTCCCTGTGTTCATTGTATATTTGAAACCAATGTGATTTGTTATCAAACACAAACTCACAAATATACTTTGTTATACCAAGTATACTAGAATTCGTACAACCCTTGATATGGAACATCCTGCTCCGCAACATCACCTCCACCGTGTTTTGATAGACAACGAATTCGAGCATTGATCCCCTCCATCA